GAAATTACGCAAGTAAAATCTCAGGAAATACCTGTTCAGAGAATGTACTCGTTACCAAAAAAAAATTCCAAAAAAAACATTTATTTAAAATTCTAGAGACTCCCCCTAGAAAACATATTTAAGAAATGATTCAATTAAGCTCAAAAAATTAAAAGGAAAATATTTTAAGCACGGGTTCTAAACTGAGTGTTTAGAAACCACACTCGGTAAAGCACGGGTCCTKAACTGAAATGTTCAGAAGCCACGTTTGGAAAAAAATACAACTCCCCCTGCATTGGTGTATCACTGAAAATGATATTCTGATCAGCACAAAATGAACACACCTGCAAAACCAGATTAAGTAGATTTTGGTACCCAAACTAACTTGGGTCCTATATTGTTAGTATTAGATTGGGGTATGTTGTAGTTTCCAAACTATTTATTTTTATAAGATATTTTCTTTGCACTATGAACAGGATGATCAGGAATAAAATATGAATCATACCAGTAATTGTGATCATACCTATTCTTACCTGTCCAGTTGTTTTGATAACTGTTATCTCCATGCCACCTGTTGAACCTTTTGTTATTGACAAAATTATTGGTTCTGCATGTTGAACACATAATCTTTCTCTTGCTAAGATTAATCAAATCATTAGTGGACTTCACAATGCAAGGAAGATTGTTAGTACCAACAGGTGTATGAGATAAAACAGATTCAGACTTATTAACCCAAATGCTTTTAATCTTTGAAGGATAATTGGGTGATCCAATGACATACCCTTGATAGTACAGATTAGAACGAGAATAGTCCTTAGAAACGTTAGATTTAGGACTACTAGAATAACAGTTCGAATAAGAACAATTATAAAAGCTAGTTTTACACTGAGAAGGAGAACCAGTTGAGCTTTGAGCACACGAAAAGTCTTTGACTTTTTGTAAAAGTTGGTCTCTTTCTACAGTAACTAAATCATATTTATTTTTTAGTTCAGTTCTCATGTTCAATTCAGTTTCAAGGTTTGTCTTTAGATCAGACAATTTCTTTGAAGTATCCAGGAATTTACCTTCTAACTCCTTCTGTAGCATTTCAAACTTTTTCTTCTGATTAATCAACTCTCGTTTCTCTTCATCTGAGCTGCTTTTGTCATTCTCCGAAGCGATGTCAAGCCACTTCCTTTTCTCAGTAAGCTCTTTGGCAATTGTTGTATACTTCTTTGAAGTATTCCTTTTTTCAATAGCAAATTGCTTTTTCTCATTGTCTAAAGCCTTTTGCTTTAGATCAATACTTTCAGACAATTTCTGTAGTTGACTCTGACAGTCTTCGGAGATGTCTTTCTTTTCTTCAGCATTCTTCGCTCGTTCCAAAATGATAAGCTGCTCAAAATCGGAGATTTGCTTTAGAAGCATCTTTGCGTTTAGCTCGAGAGAGTTAATCTTATTTTCATAAGATTCACGATCAGTTCCAGACTTTCTTTCAACTTGAATGAATCTTTTCTTCTCCTTCTTAAACTCTGCTCTTTCCATATTCAAATTCTTTTCTGCTGTCAGAAATTTCTCCTTCTCTAAGTCCAGTAATTTCTTTAATTCATTCAGATCATTCTCAGACTTATGGAACTTCTCAGTTAAATTCTTTATCTTTGTATCGTTCCTTGGAGAGTTTTTATCAGCATTTAGTTTCTTTTGAACTTTTTGAAGTTTATTTGACAAATCTATATTAGACTTAGTCAGCCTTTTCAAATCATCATCATAGTTTTTCCGATCCGAACTCAGATTTTTTTCAATCTTTTCAATCTTATATTCAAATTCCTTCTCGATTCGTTCACACTCATTTTTATGATCTTTCTTTAAGTTTTTGATATAATCCTCATTAGCATAATTTTTAATGTATAAATTTCTGTAATTCTCTTTATGGTTCACAATGCTCTTTTCTAGCTCAACAATCTTCTCTATCATCTCCTTTATAATATCTGCCATTATGAAAAATTGATCAGTTAAGGATCTATGCAGTGAAATCAGATAAAATAAATAAGAACAGTTAAGCTCAAAAAAAATAGAAAAACACTAAAACTGATGAGAATTTAGTAAAACTACGTGAAACTGTCAAAAATCAGTAAAAACAGTCAAAACCGTTAAAAACAGTTAAAAACTGTTAAAACAGTCAAAGACAGTTAAAACTGATAAGAAACAATTTACGCGATCCAAAACAGATCAAAGATTCTCAAACAGTTAAAACACACACAAACAGAAAAACAAAATGATCCAAAAAATAAAATCTAAAAACAATTGAAAAAACACAAACAATTAGAAACCTAAAAATTAAAACTGTCCAAATCCAAAACAGCAGAAAATTTTACAATAACAACACAAGACGAAATATAACAACAATGTAGCTTCACTGATATGAACTCTCTTCACAGTATGCTTAGACTTTGTCAAAATTTGCTGGTACAAATAACTTCTCTCGGATCTTCGATACTCTGCTGTGTGAAAATCAAAAATCTTGAAACGTTCAAGTTTGCAATGTGCAGAAATGTTTATCCCTTGTAGAGACAGCAACGTCTTGCCACAACCTCAAAAGCAAGTTCAGACAGCAGACAAAGATTAGATCTGGACACAGTACTTCACAAATCACCTCTCTACAGTTAAACTCAAACAGTTAAAAGCTTGTGAGATGAAAGCTTAAATCGAGTAGGCTAAGCTATATAACTGTCAGCAACAATATAACTCAAACAATTGTATCTGCAGAAGTATTTATTTCACTTTTCAATCCAGATTCTACAGCTCCTATTAGCCCTTCTATATCTAATTTGGTAGTTGATGGCCTGCACTTATGAGGTGGCTTAAGTGTAGCAGCAATGTTCCAACTTTAGCTTCAAACAAATAGCAACCTTGCAATGCTTTAAAATGAAGTGAAATGAAACCCAGTTAAACTAACAATACCAGTTGAACTAACAAATCACAAACACAAATATTCGTGCATCATGCTTAAAAATACACTGAGTTTAGATATCATCACCTGTCATAATGTTCCCAAAAGAAAAGGATGCAGGAGCAGCTCAACAAGACCTCAGATATATCTTGTTACCACTTGGGCTGTTGTGTAGCTGAAAGAAGCTGTCAAAATGAAACAAAACAGAAACTCCTCAAAACAGTTATAGTTGCTAAATCAGAAAAACAATGACTGTTCAATTTTCTGTGCAATCACTCAATGTGAAAGTTAATCACTCACTGCATGAACTCAAACAGTCTTTAATTTTCTGTGCAATCACAACAGCAATTACATACAATTACAGAACCTGTGATGAATAAACCAATAGTGATCAACTTGAATAAGCTTCTGTTATAGTATTAAAAACCCTTAGCTGTCACCAGCACATTCTGCTTCAAATCTGTTTAAAAACATATCACTAAACCTGCTGCACTCTTCCTTGCTTTGCACCAGTCTATATGTGACCTCAGCTAGATAGTGTGCAATTTACAAATCTTTGCAATGTTGTATAAAGCTTCACAAGTATAACAACAAACTCTGCTATCTTGGTGGTGGAATTTGCTCGAGTTATTATGCAGCTTCAACACTCAAACCAACAGTAGCTACATCCAATGTTTCATTCAATGCTGTGTAGCTGCAGATGAGTCTGGTAATGCAGCTGCTTAAATCTTAATCCAGCATGTTGTGTGAATAAAAGCCTAATCCAGCCAGGAACTCTTGAAATACAAACCACAGACCTTTTCTACACAACAAATTGATAGATTCTGACTTTTGTGTACACACAACAAACACAACTGAGCACCCCTGTGTTCGATTTATAGAAATTGACTTTGAACTTGATCCCCTGGTCCTTCAACACAAACTCATCCAATCAATTAATAACAGGAACTAAATTGAACATGGTTGAAGATTGTAACAGTAAACAGTATGGATATTTATACAATTTAATGAATGAACAAATTACAGCACCTTGTTTTGCAATGAATCGAACAATCAAATCGAAATTCAATCACAGTTCTGTAATCAAATCGAACAAATCAAATCGAACAAACAGATTGCAATGACCAATGAAATTATCCATAATTTCAAAATCAAAACAGCAACACAGATGTCCAAATCAAGCCAGCAAATTAGAACACAGATGAAACAATCGAAGTCCGGTCAATAGTTGAACGATTTAACCCTACTCCGCTCAAGACTAAACTTAAACCGGTCATTAAACCGTTCAAGAGGTGATCGGTTTATGAATAAACCGCTCAAATTGAAAACCTAAACCTGAGATGGACTTACCTGAGTTGTACGAATCCGATTGAATGATGTGCGGTTTAGCTTAAACCGCTCAAGAAACCCTGTCAAGCAGTGTACGGTTTAACCTTGCTCGAATCCGATTGATGCACGATGAACAATCCGGTCAAGACTTCTGCGGAGAACTTCTTAATCYGCTGAAATGGTATGCGGTTTATACTTGTATCCGCTCAAACTTGAGATGTATCAAACAAAGTAGCAATCTGGTTCCAATACCTTGTGCGATTCCTTATCCGGTCAAGAAATAGCAAACAATGTGGCCGGACTCTTATCCGGTCAAAAATATGATGGGCCTGATTGATTTTAAGCCCAAAGAAAAAAAACAAAGTCTTTAAACCGGTTGGACTTTGGACGGTTTAACACAAACTAATTCAAACTAAAAAATAAAATCAGATTAAAACTATCAAAAAAACATAAAAACTGAAAAATTTTAACAAAAAATGGATCAAAAACACTGTTTTAAAGAAAAAATCAAGAACACGAAAAAAATTTAAAAAACAAAAAATCCGATTAAATCTTGATTTAAAATGATCAAATCACAAAAGTTTGTGAATAACAAATAATCACAATTCAATTCTGAGCATTTTGATCCTGTTTTTAACACAAAAACACAAGATTTTACGAAAAAATCGGATCAAAATCTAAAAAAATAAAGAACACGAAGAACAAAAAAAAAATCAGAAAATAAAATCTTCACTTATCTCTGATTTCTTCATCTGATTTCTTCATCTGATTTCTTGCAAACATGCTCTGATACCAATTGTTTGTCCCTATTTCAGTGATCAATCTTCATTAAGCTTCACAATAATGGCAAATCTGAATATTGCATTCAAGAACATCAAGAACATGTATATGAATATTGAGAGGAAAAGTCAATGCATTACAATTCAGTCAAACCCTCTCTTACGTATCTTGAATATTACAAATGAGCTCACTACTTACAATTACAAAGGTAACCTACTATTTATATGGTCAAACATCTAAAGACAAGTCAAAGTCAAACTCCTATAAGAAAAGTCAAACACGCTGACTTCAGTCCTATATTTAACTTTCAAGACGAAAACAATTAATACTGATTTTCAGTCCTAACAGAACCAGTGTTTGAGCTTGAAGTAAAGAGCATCATGGGAGTTTACACGAGAAATTTCTCATTATATGATTTTCAGACTGCTCTTGATAGAGGACTAAAGCTTATCAATTTGAAAACGCCAAGAAAGATCTGTGAAAATGATTCTATATCAATGAAAATTCTGAGTTTACCAGATATTGGGTTTTCTTACAAGAATCCAAACAACAATATAACAATCAATTTGTTCAGAACAATATATGAGTTTTCTGTCAATATTGATATGGCTAAAATCATCAAACAACAAAACGAGACTATTTAGAAAGAAAATGAAGAGATTCAGTCACAACTGAACAAAAGAAAGCAGTTATGGAACAAGAAGCTGAAAGATTTGTTGAGGAAATGATTGTTGAACGAGTGGTTGATCGAGTAGATATAGAGAAACAAGTTGAACCGTTGTTGAGCAAATGATTGTTGAATCGTTTGTTTTTGTTGGAGGCTTTTAGTTGAAACTTGTCTTCCTGTATGTGCTTATACTAGTGCAAGTTATTTTTTGGTTAAAAACCAAACTGGGGCAGACTTGAAAAATCAAGTTTTACGTACTTTCTTTTGAAAAGACCACACAAGCTCTTTTAACACTATACAAAAAATCTGCATTTACATTTTCTCCAACCCCAAGTTTCAAAGTTCTTTGTACTCATAATTGCTTCTTCCTAAGATAATTCGGTAGTTAAATTCAAGAAAGTAGCTCATATGGTATCCACTATCCACACATAGTTTTATAAACAACTTACTATAACAAGTAGGTCCAATACACTAACATCAACTTGAAAGCCTATAAATTATGAATACAACGGACATATCTTTTAACATTAACAATGAGTTGTAGCTTGCTGCCTTAAGATAGCATACTATGAAACACAGTAACTTCCTTTTCTATGTTTGTATGTATGTATAAATGTGTGTGTATATATATATAGTAAATGATAAACTTTCAAGATCTTAAGCATCACTGAACCAATTGCAACTCCATATATGATAGCTAGCATTTGGGAGCACCTAAATCAAAGCCAAAAAGTGATGTCTTAACTCAGCTTATTTAGTTCAATTCTTAACTAGACTTTGCCCACTTTCTAATTTAAAACAACAACAAGCTAGAATCCTTAAACATACCCACAATATAATTGTTCCCTAAATCTTCCATATTCTTTATATAACAGGACTTGTTAAACATTGATTTAAACAAACAAAATCAAACATTTATTCATCAACCAAAAACATAAAGAAGCCCTAAATAGATCAACGGTAACAAATCATTACTCATCAAATAAAAACCCTAATCTTGAAGACCTTAGACATAAACGAATGGTAATGACATACCTGAAATTGTAGATGGAGCCTGATTAGAGCGTATTGCCAATGACAAATAGAGGAAGGCGAACGAGAGAATGAGGATGAAAACAGGAAATCGATGAACTATAATGAAGAGTTCTGCAGTCTTGATTGCTTCTGAAACAGGGACGATTGATATTGAAAGGATGAAGAATGCGATTGAAATAGGGTGAAAGGAGGATAAAAGCGAAAAAAAATCTGCAATGTATCTCTAACTGCGATAAGGAGGATAATGCTTGCTGACCGATTGTTGTCGGGTCAGAGGGACGGTCAGACCCTCTTTTCATAATAAGTGACTAGTAAACATTCCACTTCTTATCAAGGTAATAGGCTCTTATTCAATAAATGTCAATAAGAAGCAAGTAAACAGCCCCTAAGTGGGACAAAGTGATCTTTTTTTTGTCCCACCAAATAGGTGAAACAAAAGACAAGATTGATGAATTATTTAATTACTTATGACAAATTAGAACCTTTCACAATTTCAACTACCTACCTTACTCTCGGCCACTTTTGTCCCGTAGTTTTGTCCTGTGCAATTCTATACAGTCTTGTCTGCATACTTCCATGTTGAATAGTAGGTGTAGGTGATTTTAGTGTCATAAATCATTTGATTGTGGTTGTTATTTACATGAGATCGATTAGGTGATAACACAAACATAAGTGAATTAGGAGATGCGGATTGCACACTCAAAAATGTTGGTGGAAAATTGACCAAGTCTGGATCAGAGATAGAGTCAGAACTTTGGACCATGGAGTCAAAATTCTAGACCAGTTTTGGACGTTCCTTTTGATTCTGATACAATTGTAATTGTTCCTGATTTTATCTGTCAACAGTTATAACCTTCTGTAACCATCGATTGTTCACATACATATATCACTGAGAATCTTGGTGTATATAAGGACTCGACCCACAACCTTTGAGAAAAGGGTTTCTCTTTTGCCAAAACAAAATTCATGATATCCATGGCGATAAGGATGAATTATTGTATTTGGAAAGTAAACTTTTATGATCTAACGAATAGATTCGGGCAAGGGAAGCTTGTAGTAATATGTTGGTGCCGGTTAAAAATAGAATGTGAATGAGTACATGAAAATCATAATATGAAGTTTGTTGCGTTAATATGTTGGTCATGGTAACTTGTTTGTTGATCAAAGTCAGTTTTATGAAGATTTTTTAACAAAAAAGGGTTGATCTATGTAGATGTAGACAAGACATCGTTTTAAAATAAGTTCATAAAAATAATAAAATAAATAAATATATTATTATTATTATTATTATTATTATTATTATTATTATTTCAAACTTTTGGTAGCACAAAAATACAATGAACACAGAAATAAAGCACATCATGCACATGCAATAGTAAGATTTGGAATAATTCATGAAACAAAAAATCTATATTTGGTAACGTAATCGATAAGTCAGTTATTGGTTGAAAAATTAACTGATAGTTGAAACGTTGGTTTCATATATCAGTTATTTGGAAAATATAAAATAACAAAAAAAACATCTAAAAATTAGTCAACTTAACCTCATATAATATCTATATTATATTATAAAACATTTAACAAAAACACTTAAAAACTACTTTTTATGTATAAAGTATTGTTTATTAATGCATGTTACTTAAAACTCGGGATTACAAGTAGATTGTGCGTAAGTACAACTTATTAAAGCTCCATATCTGAATTCGTGTAACTAACTGCAGATAAACCTAATCAAATACAGGATAAACATCTCATTTTAAATATAAAAAATCTAAAATATAATTAGGATAATCATTAAGTTCTAACAAAATACTTAATTATTATCTTTATAAAATGTTATATTATTAAACCAAAAATAAATTATTTCATTATTAAACTTAAATTAAATTATAATAAAAAAATAAATTAAAGAAATTACATAAAAAATGAGAACTTTTAAATAGTTGATTTGTTGATATTAGCATTGATATATTTTTTTCAAATTTTTATGATATCTTCAAATTTATATTTTATTCAAAAATAAAGTCATTATTGTTTTCTTAAAAACACATAAAATCGTATTATAACATCGACAAAGACAAAGAATAAAATAGAACATTAAAGTTGAAATGTGTCTCGCTGCATTGTGCGAGTACTCTTCTAATAATTAAATAAATCGGATGATTAATAGAACTTATAATTTAATGATATATAATTATTTGTAGTTTTACGCAATCAAATACAAATGTTAGAGAAAATTTACATCGTTTGATTATTTAAATCAAGTGTTACACGTAATATGAAGAAAAATTGTGTCAATCATATATTATCTTAAATTAATTAATAATTTCTTCAAAACAATTAATACAATGATTAAATTAAATATTTTATAAAACCACTAATCGAGGTTTTATTAATTACGAAACAGAAAATATAACTTTAAAATTTATATGACTTATAAAATAACTAGTTGTGTACCCGTGCAATGCAGTGGAAACCATGAATTTTAACGATTTTGAAGTTTTAGTGGTTTTGTTATAGAAAATTTTAACAATGATATAACTTACACTTGGTCTTTACATATTAATATGATTTGAATAAATAAGAGTTATGA